TAGGATAACCTAGGGGTTTTCCCCTTTTATCTTTAGGAGGCTCTTCCAGCACTTGTCCTCGACTTACAAACCCTATGGCCGTGAAGGGTAATGTATACCGATTATGGTAAGATCGTTGGGAGTAAATGTCTTTGAGTGATTTTTTATGTAATTTAATTAATGCTTTTGCAGTATTATATGTTTCGTCCTGTGCTGAGAGGATAACTTGAAATATATGCTAGTAACCAACTGCCGGGGAGAAAGTCCAGCTGGAGACAATATATGAATTTGAAGTCGTTGCTGAGGGTTGCATCTTCAGAGCACGGAGTTTGACCTTCCAGGCATGTTGCAGACCTTGTATAGATATGCTGCAGAGGATGTCTTAGTCACTTCTAGAGGTTTTAGCGGCGAGGCTATGCTTCAATTTTAAGTTGATAATAACAGCTCTGCCCGTTTATTGAGAGCAACGAGTACCTAGGAGATGGTGCGTAGGCCAGGTACTTTATTTGTTATACCCGGCGACATGTAATAGTTGATAACCTGAAGGGCATAATTACATGTCGACAGGCATTGTACTGGAGTATGGTATCAGCTCGTCGTTGTGGTGTTGATGGGCTCGCCTATGACGGGCTCTCGGTGACATGCTCTTGATACGCCGGACAAAAGACGGGAATGAAGGAGAGGACGAAGATTTTCAGTGGCGTCACTGGGTCACGGGGAGCTCGTGCAAGTCTCGACCGACGCTTGGCGTGGGTGGAATCGACGGTTAGTTAGTGGCGGAAGTCGGAGGGAAGAGGCCGCGCGACGGACCGAGAGTGAAGAATGATCGTGTGTGTTATCGCGGGGAGTTGAGAGAATGAGGCAAATGGGGTGATAGACTGTGTTACTGATGGTCAGGGTCTTTGGGACTCAGTAATACTTTTCCTCGTCAGGTCTATCTCGAGTAAATATCAAAGTTTGTCAACGAGTCGGTTCACAAGTTACGGCTGTCGAAGCGAACATCATGAATTGTCTGATTCTGTTGTATGTACGTAATCAGGCCATGTTGTTGACCCTTGTTCTGGGTGTCGGGGAGGTCGGGGAGTTGTCGAGGCCCTTGATGGATCCGATGACACTCAACGCCAATGAATGTAGCCGATGACCGATGGCCGATGATCCGTCCGTCTCCATATAATTTTGGGACATGCCCAAGAAACCCTCATCGAGACCCTTTCTTTATCCGGGGAATGCATGAGGATAGAGCAATTAGTTATGGAGACTGTAGAAGAGTGAGGTCAGAGTGTTTTGAGAGTCTGTATTGCATCAGTTTATCATGCCATCCAATGCCAGTGCAAGTAGTGATGATACCCCGACGTCCCGACACCCGGGATCAGAAATCTCCACTTGCGACCTAGAACCACTCGGCGACTACCGACAACCGTGACCGCGAGAAAATGGCCACCCCGGCGGCCGTCTTAGAGCGCATTCATGGTCAAGGGGTGAACGAGTCACGACCGAGTTTTTCGTTTCCCTTCTTCCCTATCTAAAGGACATCCATCGACGACCCGCAACCGTCAATCTCCCCGTCGCTTCAACCTCCAAAATCAAAAAAGAAGGAGAAGAGACCGACGACCCGAGAAGCCAGAAGGACAGAGACACAGGATGACAAAGTCAAAGGCTTCATCTCCCGGGTCATCGGCTTCCGCTTCGGCCACCCGCCGACAACACGCAACTACTGCCACTGCCAGACCGGGAAAGGCGAGGTCTTTGGCTTGTCGGCAGTGTCGCGATCGTAAAATCCGCTGTGACGGTGCCCGACCTGTCTGCGATTCGTGTTCCAGACGCGGTCTCTGTGCTGATCAGTGTGTTTACCCCGAGATTGAGCATGAAGGTTCCATCGCTTCATCGCGAAGGTGAGTCTCTTTCTCTCTCTCTCTCATCGTCAGATCATATAGATAAGATACTAAACTCAATGATAGCTACATCCGTGCTCTCCAGAAGCGAGTCCAGGAACTTGAAGAGAAGGAGAAGCAGCTAGTAAGTCTTTTTATAACAAGTACCTTGCTCATATTCCCTACGCCCAGGACTCTCACTCACACGCCCTCTAGGAATTAGTAGCTCAAGGCCACAATGCTTTCGTCGCTACGACGCCAGCTCAAGAAGAATGGAGAAAACTATCCACCTCACCCAGTGTTGTGTCTGAGCGTATAGCAAGACCTCCAAGACATATTGATCATGCTCTTCCTCCAATCCACACTGACTCTGGCTATTCTCTACCCAGTTTCTCTTCCAGAGCTGGTTCACTACCAGTAGTTCACGAACCAGCCAGCTACTACTCTCGCCCACATCATCTCATGGGTGCTAGTCCACCATTAACCGATGATCTCGAAGATGCTGCCCCAGCCAAGCCTTCATCTTTTGGCTCCTATTCTTCCAACGTCAAGGCGGCTTTGATGCTCCAGAAAATCACCCTTCCACCAGCAGACCTCATGGACGAGTTATTAGCAGAGTATTTCAACATTGACTGGATCACCATGCCTGTTATCCACCGACCATCGTTCTATCAACGATATCACCGTCTCATCGCTGTTGCGAACTCTCGCTACCGCCGTGATATCCCCCTAGAGGAGGCCACCGAACTGGCAGCCACCTACTCCCTTTTACTAGGAATGCTAGCCATTGGTCAACTTGCCAAAACCTCGATCACAGAATCCGTCGAGTCACACGTATCTCACGCCTTCGAATTTCACCAGCAAGCCAAGACTCTTCTCCTCGTCGACCTCCTATCCGTATCATCTCTTCCTGTGGTACAGGCTTTGATTGTTCATGCCAGATTCTTGCGACGAGCGGGTACGGTCCAGGAGAGTTGGATGCTGACTGGCATGGCCCTTCGACTCGCAGAAGGTCCCATGCTTCATATCGATCTCCCGGGAAAGGCTCAGGCTGAACGCGAGGAACGGAGAAGGACATGGTGTGCTTGTGCTCTGCTTGTCAGGATGCAGAATTCCCCTGGAAGCCAAACAAACCCGGCATTTGGCACATTCCCCCAGGAAATCGACGACGAATATCTCGAGGCTTTTCCTCACAACCCCGACCGAGTTCAACCTTGCGATACCCCTTCGCGACTATCTTTCTTTAACCAAACTTTGAAACTGTACGACGATATTCTCCAGCCTATTCAAGATTCTCTCAGCCACAAAACAGAGTCTGGTAAAGAATCGATCTCTGATATTCTGTCTGATGCACTGAAGCTGGACTGCGATTTAGAAGAGTGGCATGCCGTTATTCCTGAGCATCTGCGCGTCAAATTCCCCTGCACACAACCCGAGGCTATTTTCCGTCGCCAAGCAACGCTGTTGCGCATGAGGTATGTTGATGAACTACATTTCGAGACACCATAAGCTAACAAATGATAGATATCTTGAGACCAAAGCTTTGATTCCCCGATTAGCAATTATGAAGCTTATTAGCAGCAATGCAACACAACCAACATCTATGATGACAAAATCAATGCTCGCAGGACTATTCGAGTCATGTTATGCTGCAAGCGTGGAGCTGGAAGATATCATGGCCCGTGAGAGGAGATTGGTGACTTTTGACGGCCCTCCTGAGAGTCATTCCGCTATTGGTAAGCCAAGACATCTTTCTACTACGATATCTATTCTAACTTTCATCAGCCCTTAGCATAATTGGCATGACCCTCACCGTCTTGGTCCAACATCCTCTCTTCAGAGACATAATCACCAACCCTACCCCTGTAACTGAAGAGGCCACACGATGCCTCGCGACAGCCAAGCAATATACAACTTCAACACACCCGCTCGCCGAGCGATTTGTCCATACTCTCGAGTCCGCCTTGCAGCCTCCATCTCGATGTGTATCTCCCCGCGGTGTCTTGGACCCTGCCTTGGAGCCCAAAACTGTTGGGCCTGTGCTGTCGAACCTGACAGAGGCTCCTGGGGCTGTGGAGATGGCCTTGCTTGAGGCTTGGTATATGAAGAGGCAGGATCTCGCATCTTGCGGTATGCCTGTTACGGAGATTGTTTCTCTGTGGTGATTAGTGATATATATACAGATATATATGGGATTGGGAAAAGGATAGGCGTTTTTATTTAGCTAGCGAGATACCCCAGCATGAATTAATGGAATGAATGAACGTCATATTGAGTCTCAGTCTCAATCCAGATGTCTTTGGTGTTCTGCTCTTGTTGTGGCTGCCTCTAGTGGCCGTGGCCAACAGGCCGGTATAAGTGGCCGGGGTGGACTTTTCCAGGGTCTGCGCCTTTCAAGGGTGCTCATCTGCCCGGAGTTATCCTTTGTAGGAAAGAATTTGTATGCCTCTCAAGATCACATCACGCCAGCCCTGCTAGCTATGGCAGTTGGCCGACGTTTTGCAGGGGTCAACCAACAGCCTGAGAAAAGAGACAACAGAAAGAGGAATATCCGCCCGTTTCTGGAGATGAAACTCCACGACAGTAGCAGGGCGCAGCTGTCGGAGGCCGACCACCACATAAAAGAAGACAGCTTTTTTGAAGATCAAATTTGATAGGTGCCTGCAAGGCAGAATTTGAGTTTCAATTGGTTCAATTTCACACATCAATTCGGGCTTGTGTTTCGGTGAATGCAGCATTCCGCTTCCAGTTCATTCACTCATGCCTAGTATCAAGACCACAGATTAAGCCATCACATTCAATGCCATGGACAAGGCACAGGCAACATAGCCTCTATATTTACAACTATAACAAACAGAAGCGCTAAGATAGCTGGGCCTCGGTGCAGGGCCTCTAGTGAGGTACAAGTGGCAGCCACTGCAAGCACCCGATAATCCTTGGGTTTCTACCTGTGAGTGATTCACAGGCCTCGAATAGGAGTTTCGCATCCAAGGCATAAATTCTTCTCCCTCCCCGTTTTATTTTCTTTTTTCCTTTTTCTTCATCGCTAAATCTACACGGTGATCGATATACCTCTCCTCATCCCACGCAACCTCAACAGGTTAAGCGACACACAGTATACCCGCTTGCAAAGAACTTCGTCTTGTCAAGATGACTACCGCAAAGACAGTCAAGTCCGAGCAAGGGCTCGGTAATCGAGCCCTCTTGGACAAGATGGACAAGCTGCGAGAGCTCGGCATCTCCAATATGGTGCCTCTCCCTCAGGTATGTCTTGCATGTCACCTTGCACCAGACTCTCTCGGCTAACGTTATATAGATGGTTGTCGTTGGTGACCAGAGTGCTGGAAAGTCCAGTGTCCTCGAGTCTCTCACTGGCTTTCATTTTCCTCGCTCAGTGACTCTCTGCACTCGCCATGCCACAGAGATCATCTGCCGTCGTGAGGAAACCGAGAGCATTGTTGTTTCTATTCATGCTGTTGATGCGGATGAGGAACAAGCAAAGTCCTTTCATCGTACTGCGACTAACCTCGATGCCGATGAGTTTGCTCAGATCTTCTAAGATGTCAGTATTATACTCTCTAGACTCATATCGCCTCCTCTAACATAGTCTTGATAGGCTGCTAAGGTGATGGGCATCAAGTCAGAGTCTGGTGATGGCTCTCCTGGATCTGCCTTTAGTCGCGATGTTCTGCGCGTCGAGATCAGCGGCCCCAACGAAGATCACTTGACTGTCATCGACGTTCCCGGAATGTTTGAGAATGTCACTCCCGGTGTCACCACAAAAGAAGATATTGAGCTCGTGAAGAATATGGTGCAAAAGTACATCCAAGAGTCACGCACCATTATCCTCGCTGTGGTCCCTTGTAACGGCGACATTGCGAACCAGAAGATTCTCACCTACGCAAAGGAAGTTGATCCTGAGGGTAAGCGAACTCTCGGCGTCCTCACCAAACCTGACTTGGCGGTCGAACAGGCTACCAAGGCTGTTGTCGTTGACCTTGTACGCGGAAAGCGACGTGATCTTCAACTTGGATACTGCGTTGTGAAGAACCGAAGTGCAGACGACAGTTCTTCCAGCGCTGAGGAGCGAACTCGCGCTGAGAAGGAGTTCTTCTCCAAGGCGCCTTGGACTTCGCTACCCCCTGACAGACTGGGTATCCCGGCGCTCAAGGTCCGTGTCCAACAGCTTCTCATGGACCGAACCAAGAGCGAGTTCCCCAAGGTTCGTGGAGACCTTGCGACTATTCTCAAAGAAACGGAAACACTTCTCAAAGACATGGGTCAGTCTCGCAGCACTACTGAGCAACAGCGTATCTATATTGGACAGATCGCTGCTCAGTTCACTCGTATCAAGCACTGTGGTCTTGATGGACAGTACAGCCGCGAGAATCTCTTCGACGCTGGCACAGATCTCAAGCTCATCACCCGAATTCGCGAAATCAATGAGGAGTTCGCAAAGTCCGTCTATGACTGGGGCGAGACACGAAAGTTCCACCGTCCTGGCGACAAAGAGGTGGCCCCAGCCGCTAGCGAGGAAGATGAGGCCTCGGAGGAAGCAAATGCCGAGTCTGCCGACGAACGTTGTGGCCTGTACCGCCGCGGCATCTCTTTTGAGATCCCCAAGTTGGGAGAGCAAGAGCTGGAGGATGGGGTTCTTCATGATGCGTTCGAGTGGCCGGAGCCGAACGAAGAGGATATCATGCAGTATATCGAGAGGGAGTGGCTTTCTTCCCGTGCTTATGAACTCGGCACTGTAAGTATTGTCTTTTCCTGGTGCTTGCTTGGATGTATGTTCTGACTCATCTCTTAGTTCGGTGGTGAAATGCTACCTAAGAACTTCAAGGAGCAATCCAAGAAGTGGTCTGGCATGGCCCGAGCCCACATTGCCAATGCCATTCTCATTGTGCACCATTTCATCAGCAACGTCCTGGACAACTGCTGTCCCGACCCGGTTATTCGCGAAGAGCTCTGGAATTTCCTCGTCGATGACCTGCAGACCCGGTACAAGCGTGCCGTCAACCACACCGAATTCCTCTTGAAGGTCGAGTTCGAAGGTCGCAGTATCACCTACAACCCCTCTTTTGGCAACAATCTAGCTGAGAACAGATCAAAGGGAGAAGATTTGGGTGAGCTGGTTGAGAAGACTACAAAAACTGCCTTGCAACAATCTTACGAAACAGATATCGAGGTTGCCAAGTATGTCCGTGACGCTGTCGAGGGTAGACCTAAGCCTACAAACCTAGCCACCATCTGCCAGGACATTCACGATGTTCTTTTGACCTACTACGACATCGCCCGCAGTCGATTTGTCGACGTTGTCTGCCGACAAGTCATCGACTTCTTTCTCCTCGACGACGCCGACGGCCCTCTCACTGTTCTGTCTGACCAAGTTGTGTTTCACATGACACCTGAGCAACTCGAAGCTATTGCCGGCGAAGACATGCTCAGCCGTGATCGCCGTGAGAAGCTGACTCGTGATGTGGTAAACCTGAAGGAAGCGCTCAAGGTTCTCCGTGGATGATCTTTTGGTAGACGAGACAAAACCATTGGTCTTTGATTATGTTTGAGAAGGGTCAGATGGGGGTAGACCGCGATGCTAGACTTTGAGAGAATTGGGATAGTATTGAGGTTCTCATATCTCATAGATGGTTTGATAGTTGCAGCCTTTTGCAAGAAGTTGTAATAATAGACTGCGAATTAGAGTATCAGCCTTGCTAGCATGAAGTGCCAGTTGCCGTTTTCATTGGAATTCTCGTAGCTTGGTTGGTAATTGACCAGCACGCTATCATACGCTTTAGAAGTTTCACAATCATCATATGCACTCAGTTGGATTGCCAAAGTCTGCAACTCATAAATTGGGGATTCTTTGCATTCGTTATTCATTCGTACAAGTTGCGAAGCACTTCTGCTCCCAAGCCTCCAGATGTCGATGTTCAACTCGACAACTATGCAAAAACAAACATCTAAGGTATCATAGTCTAAATTTCATTATTCCACCAACGCCAGAGATATGCGAATCATGCGAACAACACCGATTTTGTCAATCCAGATCATTTCGTCAAGAGACTGCCAACATCCTGCAGCTGGACTGAGTTCAGCAGCGGAGGAGGTCCTCCTCTATCTATCCGTCCCCAGCCAGCTCCCCAAGTCGGCGGTGGCTGTGGAGGAGTAGATGAAGATGCAGGGGGGCCTGCTGGGAAGATTTCATCCTCTCCTGTACCAGAGCTCCGGGTGCTCAAAGCAATATCTGTACCGCTGCTCGACTTAGCCTTGCGGTGTCTTCTCCAGATACGAGGTTTCCGAAGCCGAGACGTCTCAGCCATGAGCTCTGGCGATGTCATGATGCCAACGCGGTCATTCTTTCGGAAGTGGCTCATTCTGGATCTAGGATACGAGAATCCTGCGGGTTGACCACCGACAAAGGGGTTCCAAGCCCTGAGCTTTGGTGACCCAAGACTGATACTACCATTGCATCCAGAGTTGTAGCTTGTGCGAGGTTCTCCAGAAAGCTCCTCCAAGGTCATGCCCTTAGTCTCGGGGATCAATAAGGAAACCAGAGTACCAAACAACATGAAGAGGGCAAAGAGTTGAAGCAGTCGGTCCATGTTGGGTGAACAATCGATGCCCTTACAGCCCTCGGGTGATCCATGTCGCACCATAGGGATGCTGATGCCCTGCGCAATAATTGCCCCTATTTTGCCCATGGCGGCCGAGATGCCATGACCGGTCGATCGATATCGGGTAGGGAAACATTCCCCAGGAACGATGAAGGTGGTCGTGTTAGGGCCAGCATTGAAGAGAAACTGGCCCACAATGTAGAGCGCAAGCAACCCCCCCTGTGAGAGGCTCTTGTAAGCAAACCCGAGGATACAGAAGATAATGGTGAGTAGAAGAAATCCGAAAACCTGCAGCGGCTTGCGACCAACGGTGTCAACGCTGAGAATGGCAGTCCAGTAGCCAGGGAGTGATCCAGCACATGTCAAAATGATCATTCCAACAGCTTGGTTGTGAAGCTTTTCGAATAGCGAGGTACCAGCGCCATAGCCTACTGCTTGAAGGACAAAGGTATTATTAAGGCCAAGACCATAGAAAGCGAGGTCCTTCAGAAAAGTTAAGTTAGCGGGAGCCAAGCAATGTCAAATAACAGCACTTACCAAAAAGAACCAGGACAAGGTTGTGCCTAATAGCATCTTGAAATTGGCCCATTGGCGGAAGAAGGAAATAAGATCAGACCAGGACGCACGAGGGACGTCAAGACTACGTCCAGCGATACGCTTACTCCTGACTTGATGAACAACGTCAAAGGAACCCTTGGACTTGCTGGCAACGTATGCTTTGATGTCGGCATCAGCTTTCTCGACGTCGTGTTCCACATCAAAGGTATATCGAGGGGTTTCCGGGATGGTGATGCGGTAATAGAGGGCGGCACAGGCAGGAATGGCGCCCACTCCAACAATAATTCGCCATGCTCGGTCAGCGGCTAGTCGACACTCGAAACCGCATTGGCTTTCATCAGCAGCACCAATAAAAGCGTCCTTGAAAGCAACAGTAGTGATTAGAGCAACAATAGCAGCTGCTAGCTGTCCAAGTCCCTGCATAGAGAAGACAGCAGCAACCATAGCGCCGCGCCACCTTGTCGGAGCGAACCTAGCGGGATCTCAGTCAGTTTGAGTTGATCAGGGCGTGTTAGGGGCTTGGTATGAACTAAACCCCAGCCACAAAGTCTGAATGGCAACATGACAGCGAAGACACTTACTCGGATGTAATGACACTTGAGAGCGGGTAGTCGCCGCCAATTCCAATGCCCTGGATATAGTCAGGAAATGCTGCGAAACGTAAAGTTTTTGCAGACTTACCATGATGATACGCCAAAAGATTAGGAGACCTGTCGATCCCATTGCAGGGCTAGACGAGATGAGAGCGCAGCAAAGCGTTGCCAGGATAATAATGCCCAATTCGACACCATACATGCGGCGTCGACCAAAGCCACTATTTGAGTTGTCAGCGCATTCTTGTCTATGAAATGATCGATATAGACTGGTGGTACTAACTCGGCTAGCCATCCAAAGACGATCATTCCCACCACGATTCCGGCACTCGTAGAGGCCTTGAATGCCTGGTTAACCGGGTCAGGGAGATATCCATCATTGCCACTGAAGCCATTTTGAGGGTTAGGATCGCCCCAAAAGACAACTCCAAGGAGTATTGTGATGAGGTTGATGGCAAAAATATCGTAAGAGTCAAGGAAGAAACCAACACCTGCTACTAATACAGCGCGGACATCTAATTTGGTCAGCATTGGCTTCAATAATAACCGGCCAGAATAAGATTAATCACATACGGTAGGCACCAAAAGGGACTTTATCAATCTCAGATAAAGCAAGACGGCGGCGGAGATTGGGGTCGGGGATGTGAGAGAAGTCGTTGAAGAAGTTGTGAAAAGCGTTATTACCACCCCAAGTGCGATCCTGCTGAGAGCCTGATGCCGGGGGAGGCAGCATGTCTTCGTCGTAGTCTGGCATTTTGAAGTTTAAGGCGAGTAAATATCGGGAGCGATGATATCCGTAATCGACGACATGGGTTGTTCTGTATGGAGATGCTTCGGGATGAGTTTCGCGATACCGATCTCCACCTCTTCGGGTGCTGCTCCGTTAAGAGATCAGGAATGCATAGAATCAAGACTCTGAATTTTTGTGGATTTCGCAGCAATTGATCCAACTCTTTGAAATATTTCCAGCCCAGTCTGGTCGATCCAACAATACCGTCGTTTCCCCAAATTACGGTTTGTGACTGTCGAGTTGTTCACCTCACTTCGAAGATGATGGCCGCTCAAGATGATGTTCCAACAAGAAGACCAATATCTAACTTCCTTCTAATCCAACACCCCCAAATGAATCGACGATGATTTATCGAGGGCAAGAGAGAGTTGTTCTACAGTTCAAGTTCGACATCGAATACCATGGATCGGGATTTCGGCGTAGTTGACCGTCGGAGTATGCGGGTTCGTAGGTGTCGAGGGGATGCGACAGTCGGTGATACAGGTAAAGATAAGGCAAGGCCCTAGCAATGTACAGAGAAGAAGAGGTAATAGAATGAACAAGATATTACGATCTCACCAACAACAACAACGATAGATGAAATGGGGAAGTGGGAGGATTCCAGACAGTTGGGATTGATAGATAATAGGTAACTACGGCCGGATATAGCGTGCGAGACCGTGCTTGTCAAGGTACAGTACCTTCCTCGTAGTGGATGGGGGATGCCCTGGGTGATGGATGAATGGGTGGTGATTTTGAGGCAGGTGCAATGGTGGAGACGCATCTGCGCACGCCTTCCATAATGGAATCTCCGGCCAAGCCACTGCCCACTGTGGAAGCCGAGGAAGAAGCAAGATGGAAAGTCCACTGCACACCCACTCGAGTCTCCCCGAACCAGTCAGAGTTGAGCATTGGATGCAGACCACTGAGATGAATGGAACACCAAGTTGCCCATGCTTTTAGAGAGCCCACAAGGCCCGCCTTGTTCGAAGCAGGTCATTCTGTTAACCACCTCCTCCTTCGAGCATAGTATATGAGTCCGTACAGGAAAAAAGGTCCAGCTCTAGAGAAGTCGATAGTCCAATCTTGCTCAAGTGAATCTCAGCCCAGGGTTTCATACTCAGCTAGAACCCCGTCACTCCAGACTCAAAGAGACTCCCTTTTCAAGCAGATGCACCCTGGCACACCCCCTGCAATCCACTGGATCAGCAGAGCCAATTGGAAAGGATCGGAGGTCAGTGGCCAAACTCGCCCTGGTGGAGAGCATTCGAACCTATGTAACGCCCGCGTCTTACACTGAGATGGCTGCCCCCCACTTGAACGAACAGGGTCGTTTTTGTGTGTAGTGAGTTTTTGGGTGTGGTGAGATTTGGGATGTCATTAACAGAGTCTATTCAATAAGAGGCTTGCATGTCAATTGAGGCTATTTCGTGGCTACCTATTCTTACGCAGGGACATCTTGAACCCGGTTCGCTTGAGCTTTTTCAACTCCCAAATTTGACGCTGTGTCACAGAAATTGGATGTGATGCACTCCGTCAGACTTGACTTGTCAGACAAGGAAGGCCCCTTGGCCCCTGTTTTTCCAGAACAAATCACTGACAAACCTTGTGCCTAAGGCATCGATCCATGTGTTTTCCTCAGGGAGCAAGAAAGTTCCCGACATTAAGCTAGGGTGCCAAAATAAACTAGCCTAGAGGCTCCCTCAGGCATACTAGCCTTTACCTCAACTTTTCTGTTGCTTAGAGAAAATGTCCCAAGTTTTCTTACCTCTCCTTGCATAGGAAGGCTTCCAGAAACAATAGAGTCGTTCCATGGGATCCATCATCCACATCATTCCGCATTGGGCTCACCACTCAATCTCACCACGGTCACTTGGTCGCAGATCTCGCCGAACGGCAACTTTCATGATTTGACCGGCGCTTCTTTCACTTCTATTCACGCCCTTTGATCGACGCCGTGTGATGAATAACCTGAATTCGTATC